CTCAGTCCAACCCTGACATACGTGGGGTCGCCATGACCTGGAGCCACTCCTCAGCAAGCGGCTTCTTTAAAGGAAAAAGATAGAGACTCCTGACTCCCTCACCTATGGATTCTGATACAGACTTCCTCTTCCTGTCTGACTGAACCCCATCATTTCACCTATCCTCTTACCTCCCCTACAATCATACTGTCAGTGGGGGGCACCATATGCTATGAGGATTGGGAGAAGGGCAAGGACGTAAAGGATATAGAATGGGTGGTGTATGATAATGATTTTTAGACTCTTATCTTCTGAAGAAATTGATTTGTTCTGAAGTTCAATGTCATTTGACCTATTATTTAAAAAGATTGCCATCTTCTGCCCCAGTAAATCATGTGGGAAAAGATTCTACACATTTCTATAACAGATGAATGTAAAGACTCATTCTCTACATCTTAAAGTTATTTTTCAAAATTATAATGACATCATAAATTGTTAGAGTGGAAAGGAATTTGTGAGTCAAATCCAGCCTCCTTGCCCTGAAAGAAATCCCTTCTTACTTTTATATAATGACATTTACATTAAAAAATGATATAATATTTAATCACACAAAACAACTATTTTGCTGCTGGTAACAGCTCAGGAAAATGCACTCATCAGCATTATCATCCAAAACATGATTTGATTAAGAAATGACAGCTCGCCAGGTGAAAGGATGAAAACTACATGGAATGAAAATTAAGATGGTAAGAGCTCTGGTAGCATAGTGCCTAAGGCACTTGACTGCTAACCAGAAGGCTGGCGATTCAAACCCACCAACAACTCCTAGGAAGGAAGATGGGACAATCTACTTCTGTAGTGATACTGCCTCGGAAATCCAAGGAGGGGTCACTATGAGTCGTGTCCAACTTGATGGCACATAACAACAACAAGGTGCCATTTTGATTCTTTTCACTTTTAAATGATAATTAAATCAATTACGAATCTTTTAAACTGTCCTTTATTATTGCTAGCTAAGAAAATACTTTAAGAAGTGAAAGGAAGATTGTTGTTGTTGTT